TCAAAAAGAGGGAGGGAACGTAGTTCATAAAAACTGACAAAATCAAAAGTTAAACTAATCAACCTAGATTACTATCCAAAATATGTAAGGAGGAATATGCCATCGGTATCAGAACCCTTTTAAACAGGACAATGAATAAAAAAAAAACGACACAATCTGCGTGAATTAAAACTGTAAAACTGAAAACTAAAAATATTTTTAACATGTTATACTTGCAATATTCAGTACGTTTGTAAACGAGGGTCCAATATATGATTCGTTTGAATAGGTATTGACTTAGGTACAAAACAAACAACACATGTCTCCTCACAATGCTTCTACGTCCAAAGAAACTTTGAGAACGCCACTTTCTAAATTATATAAGGAAAATCGGTCGGGAATCGCGACAAAAGTAGTGGTGAAAAAACATTTGATTGACCAACTTAATACATAAGAACTTGATTGATAAAATAAAAAAGACGAAAAAAATAGTAACCAATCGTCCAGAAAACGCTTGTTATATTCACATCTAGATCAAAGTCATGTCAGAAATGCATTTGGTGCAAATCTGATGAATCAATCAATTTCCAACTCATTTTTTAGTTTTTTTTTATGTTGTGCTGTTTACAACACTGTCCCAGGTTATCGAGAGGGTTGTGCGCTAACAAAAATGCTTAACCCTTCAAAATGCTGTATGTGACAATCCAAAGACAGGAGTCCGTAATATAAAAGTTGGCGTTGTTTGCTGTCTGTTATACCATTTTTTCGTTTATTGTCTCCTTATTAAAAAGGCCGTTAGTTTTTTGGTTTTAATTTTTTCAGATTTGTCATGTCGAGGTCTATTATAGCTTACAATACGAAATGGGTTTTGAAGACCGTACTGATTTGTTTACTGTCTATTACATCGCATATTTCGTTATAATATAAAACTGCCGTCAATTATTCCGAAAAATAGATACATTTGCACACAAATTAAGATAACTGAAAATACGATGTCATGGTTTGGTTCAGTAGTGTCATGGTTATGTTCATGTTCGACATGGTTCAGCTATGGGATTCCTGTCGTGTATGATTGAAGAGTAACGATCAAAATAAATAGACATTGTATTGAAATACTGTTAAAATACTATTTTGGCCGATAAATTTGTTCTCGCGTTTAACCCATTCTATCCTATTTCGAGGCAATATATTGTCGCCATTTTTTAATGTTGTTGTTTTGTTCCCGTACGAGTATTTACGCTGATCTTCTAAATAAGTCGTCAACAGTAAATTCAAGATGTTATAATCATAGTCACCATTATAGAACACGCATGTATTTAGAAATCACGAGGAAAATTGTATTAATGCATTTCAAATGCAATTTCTTTAAAAGTAGTTTTATTTGGAATACAAAAGGACCTAAGAACGCACATAGTAATATATCATAAGCTGTTGCTGTATGATTGCCAATGAGACAACTATCCACCCGAGACCAATTGACGTAGATGTTATCATCAATAGGTCGCCGTACGGGCTTCAATAACAAATAAAATCCATACCTCTTAGAACGCTATAAAAGGCTCCGACAAAGTAAATGTAAAACAATTCAAATGAGAAAAAAAAACGACCTGATTTATGTTCAAAACATTAAGCGAAAAACAAATATGATATACAGTAACAAACGACAGCCCCTGCATTACAGACTCTGGACTTGGGACTGGCTCATACATAATATGGCGGGATCAAACATGTTTGCGGGCTCCCAACCCTCCCTTCGCCTTAACTTGGGTAGTGGTGTAAAAGCACAACAAAGAAGAACAACCTATAAAAATCAGTTGAAAAGGACTTGACTCATCAGATCGAACAAAGCAAAAATATTCAAGTAACATAAACACCAAAGACACAAAGAACCGATCTGTGAGTACTGTAAATTCAGAAATTATTGCGTGCATTTATTTTTGCGATTTCTGAAGAATGGACAAAAATGTAAGATTAATTATTGCGATTCCATGAAAAACTGCATACATATAAATGTATCAGATATCAGAATGCGAGTTCTTATTAATGCGATACTCAACCAGTCGCATTATTTGCATTGATATCCTTGCAATAATTTCTAATTACTCGCATTTACAGGAAGCTAGTTCCAAGCTAATAACAACTAATAAAAAGATCATGAATCCAATCCAAAACATTACTTTGTTTAAATTTCAGAATGAAATACTGCTGCAAATATTCATCTTCATCCATCTTATTCTCTGCTATTAAGAACGACGATTTCTTGTCTTGTCTGGGTCGAATGGTCGTACACAGTTTAAATGTACTTGTACCAAACAAAATAACAAGCGTATCTTGGAATTTATGTTTTTTTCAATCACATTAAATAACGTAAAATTTCCCTTACTAAATACTAGATCGACAAAGTTTTTTCTGATATTATCGAAACTTTATTGCACAAAAGAAATAAATCTTAAACAGGTTAAGTGATACTACACAATGCATTTATACAATATAGAAAAATCATAATCATTTTTATTCATTCGTAATAATGATTGACAAAAATGGACATTATATCGACCTAATTCTAAATCGAAACAGTGATTTTTCATATATCTAAATTTCGAACTCTGTTAGTAGTTTTAATAGTAATTTCATTTATAGTTTATTAACAAAATAAGTTTTAACTGTTTTCCATGTTAAAATTTTGTGCCGTTGAGGGTTAAAGACTGTATGGTACCCTTTCGATATCGTTTGGATAGTTTTGTAGTTGGGTTACTGTATCATAGCCGTACAACCCCCATATCTTCTTTTATTCATCATAGACATAATCTGATTAAAAATAAAAACTAAGGATGTATAGTTTGCTAGAAAAAAATGTTGAAAAAAAATATTTTTGGACTAGCTGCTACGTTTTGCAACTTAAGGGTATAGGATTCAGTTACAGGGGAGGTAATGGCTTGCTAACGTAAAATGTTATTTTTCGCGATGTCAAACTGTCACATATCGGGAACAGATGCATTTTTCGACTGATTGTTATCATTCAGACTGATTTACCTTGAAAACGAGTTCATGGACCCCTCTTTTTTAAAATGACATTAGTTTTGATTACGTATGAGAATTATTTGTACCAATTTTTATGCAAAACGTCACCGATGAAATTTTTTTAAATTAGATAAATTTACAGCACAAAATTCCGTTTTTTTTATTAAATCCTGAAACTTTAATAAAAATTAATTATTTCCAAAGAATTGTTATACAAATTTAGAATAACTTATTTACGAAAGGAAGATTTTCCAAATGTTTTTACAAAAATCCTCTTGTGTTTATCTGTTGAAACAAAAAAGTTAGGTATGTCTATCCAAAGGATAGAAATGTCAAAAAAACGAAAATTTTAGTGAATGTTTAAAATTTCGGCCCCACTTATCTCTGAAAGTAGCACATGAAGGTGTATTTTTTATTACATAATTGAATTGACTAGGTAAAAAATAGCTTGTATGCACATTTTCGTAAAAAAATCACCGTGGGATCAAAACTGTATCTTATGCCCTTAAGGTAGAAGTCTTTAACAATTTGATTATTGACGCCGCTCACGATATCCCCGGCAGAGCCCATCATGAACATACGGAGAAGAGATTCTTGGTGAAACAGAAGCAATGCTTTCTGTTGTTGTAATTTATTTCATCGAATGCCAGTTAAAAATAGGAGTGGCTATATCAATTCTTTCTTAGGAAACACACGAAAATTAAAATTGTATATTGTACGGTTTGTAGATTACGCCCAACAAATATGATTAAAAAGGATTTTTTGCCTTCTTAGTCAATTGATAAATTGTATAACTTCGTTTTTTCACAAGTGCTTCAAACAAACTATCAATATTAAGGTGAAACAAATATGTAGAAAATTGAATCTAAACCATGACAAATTTAATCAAAACCATGACGAATATATAGACACTTAACTGAACCATGCCAATCGCTTAACCAAACATTAGCAATTTCGATATTATGGTTATCCTGCGTTAATTTCTCAAAAACAACGATTTCAATGTAGATCGTTTGACTTACAATATAGATTCAAACATCTTATTTGCTTTTTATTTGCTCATTTGAAAAGAACTGAGATGATCTTTCTTGGAAGTAGCCTAACTAAACCATGACAAAATCACTGTACTAAACGCTCCTCGATATGACGACGTTACTACCCGTGGTGTTGAAAAATATAATGGTTTCGGAAGATATTTTTCCCTCTGTTATTTTCGCTCTCAATAAATATTGCTCAGATGTAATTTGATTTCTAATTTCAATAAAATACCATTTGATTCTGAAACTATAACCTCTGTTTCTGAGGATCTTAATAATATACTTGTAACAACAAGATGTATATGATAAAATAATACCCTCTTATGTAAAACTTTAACCATGACCCGACATGAGTAAGTTTCTTCTTCAATCACCATGAAATATTTACAAAATTAAAAAAGAGAAAAAATGAAAAATTCCAGTATGATCTTATAAATTAGTTGGAAATGTTACAAAAACAAAATCCAAAAGTAATTTGGAACAGAATATTACACAATTATTACTATTGTAGTGCATATATTGTAGGTAACAGTAGTTCAAATAATTATAGTAACGGTACAAATTCTACTCAACTAGATTAACACTTCAACAATCACTACCCATTCTCTGTAATCACTTCAACATTTGTAGCACATAAAATCACCAATTATGCTGAAATTGGCCTGAGATGCAGATCATTATAGCTAAATAAAAAATAATGTCAGACATAAATTTATATTGGTTTGTCACTATGGAAAGAAGGGGTAAAATTGTTTTTTTTTTATCAAATGTTTGCAAAATTCTTGTAAGAAATACCGAACTCCAAGAGAAATTCAAAAAGAGGGAGGGAACGTAGTTCATAAAAACTGACAAAATCAAAAGTTAAACTAATCAACCTATGAAACGAATGGAAAACAACTGCTATTGTTAAAAAAAAATCCAAACACAATTTATTTCAGTCTTTCAGTTTTATCAACGATTAAAAAATTATAATAATCTTTTATTCGTAAGCAATACAACTTATAGAATATAAATATTACAAATATTCAATTACATCAGTGAAATATATTTACATTTAAACAATTAGTCAAATAATCATATAAGTAGGTATACCCATATAACAGTACAGCAGAGTATGATAAAATATAACACATATTAAGCATTTATAAATGAATTTAATTACGTGCCTTCTCGGCCAGAAATGAAAACTTCCCTAAATTGTTAAGTTCCTTTACATTATGAACAGATAGCAGCTGTACGAGTTTAAAATTCGAAGGTTTTCTCCAATAATATGGTTTGATAAATTTCTTTCGAAGTTCATTATACTTTTCACATACTAAAATAAAATGATATTCATCTTCAATTACTTGTTTATCACACATATTACAAAGTCTCAGATGTCTCTCAATATTATAAAATCGACCAGTTTCTATATTCAAACAGTGAGCAGATATGCGGTATTTACAAATAAATGGTTTATAAATATAATTTACAGCATGATCTAAATAAAATTGTAACATGTTGGGGTCAAATACATATCTATACAACAAACATTTTGGCGAATCTTCAAAAAATGAGTTCATTTCACTATGAATGCTACCCTTTACTCTATCTTTGAATTCAATTAAAAACAAATCCAAATTTTTAACACCCTGATGTAACCATACATCATGGAACCCATACATGTAAAATATGTCTCTAATTCGACAGGCCCAGTTATATTTGTCGTTTGGTTTTTTATTACATCTCTCGAGCATTTCTTCATAACAGCATTTAAGAATATAGTTATAAGTACATAAGAACTTAAACCAATATTTTAACATTCGACAATATCTTTCTATAAACATAGGGTATCGTCCCAACTCACAATAAACCATATAATTAACAGTAGATGCTTTCACCTTTAATATACGTTTTAAGAATTTCATTTGAACTTGTTCGATATCATCACATTCACAACTATAATTCAAAATACTTGCTACATACGTGTCAAACAATGACAGCATAGTTTCAAAATTAAAACAGTCATCCTGCAATTTACTATACAAACTAAATAATGCTTTACGACCTTGGTTTGCTAATGATTGTTGGGTATATGTAAAATAACCATTATATCTAAATAAAATACCCAGATATACAAATTCATCACACATATCTATTGAATTTCCATTTAAATACCATCTCTCATTTGCTTTAACTTGACCTCTGTTTCTGAACACAACAATGTTTGTTTTTAAACAATTAATAAATAAATTGTACTTATTAGAATAGACATTTAAACAATTAATCATCTTTTGTAAATCTTCAATATTTTTACTGAACAATACTGTGTCATCTGCATACATAAGTAAATACAAGTTCAACATTTTTAACTCATAAGGTTGACATCCTTGACTAATAAGCTCTATTTCCATGTCATTTACGTACAATGAATATAAAAATGGGGATAATGATTCCCCCTGCATTAAACCAACATTACTATTAAAGAAATTTGAGAAACTACCATCAAATTTTACACAACATTTAAGTTTTGAATACATAGATTTTAATACATTTAATAGTTTCACCTAATCTAATAAGTCGTAACCATAATTTCATATGTGTGACACTGTCAAACGCCGTTTTATAGTCTACAAAACAACAATAAAATCTTTTACCAGATTTCAAAGATTTAGAAATTAAAGAATTGAGAGCGAAGATGGCGTCAGTAGTACCATAACCAGGTCTGAAGCCAAACTGGGCATCTGTTAGTACATCATGGTTTCTACTCCATTTTGTAAGTCGAGCGTTGATGAGAGTTGTAAACAGCTTTCCAATATGGGACACAAGAGATATTCCACGAAAGTTTCCAGGCTCATTAACATCACCTTTTTTGAATACAGGGATAATAATACTTTTTACCCACAATTCAGGAAAGTCACCATTTGTAAGAATACAGTTAAATATTTTACACAACACAGGTTTAATGAAATTTTTGCTCATAATAATGTACTCGTTCATCATATTATCGTATCCTGTAGATTTGTCTCGTTTTAACTTTTTAATACCCTCATCAAGTTCTTTTTCCGTAAATGGAGAGTCAAGCTCATCGAAAACAGTACCTGTATTTTCGCCTGGTAAATCCTGCGGATGTATATCTGGGTTGGAAGTTAATTTCTTAAAATGTTCTTCAAACTGCTCTAAAGTTATATTATGATGTATAACCTTTTTACGTTTCTTAAATTTCCTAAAGAATTGTTTCGGATTAGTCCTTCTTAACGAAGCCATCATGTTACCTCTTTGATTCTTATATTGTCTCTTCAATTTATTTTCGAGCCACTTATATTTCTGTTTTGCTAAATTAAGACTGAGTCTATTTTCATTGGATCGGTACTTATTAACAGTTCCAAGTGCCTGTTGGTAAGCATTATATACGTTTTTACATTCATCTGTAAACCAGGGTTTATCTGTTGCAGTTTTTAATTGTTTATAATCATCAGTACATATATTACAGGGTTTTTTATGTCTAATTTCTGTCTTTGTATACTGGTCAAAAATATCAGACAAAAGTTTATTTAATTCATCCACGCAGATATTGGTGTCGCTATTTTCATCTATATTGTTCAACATATCCTCAAACTGCTGGGCGTTAGACAACAAACTCTCTCTGACGTCATCTTCGCACTCGTTTCTCCATTTAAAAGTATTATAAACATGATTACTACATGAGCATTGATCTTTGATCAAATTTACAGTATTGTCCCTAAGGTAAAATTGAACTGACAATGCAGCGTGACATGAAAAACTAGTAAACATTCCTACGTTTAAACTCTTTACAATCTTAAACATATTCTCAGATAATAATAAATAGTCAATTACACTACAACTATTTTTATTATTAAAAGTTATTTTACCACTATCTTCTCCAAAACGTCCGTTACAGATGCGTAACCCGGAGTTCTTTGACCGAAACTGTTGGGCGCTTTTATATCCTCGAGATGTCTCTGCACAAAATCTTGCCTATCATTTTCATAATTAATAAATGAGATATTGTCTTGTAAAAATGGATCTAAGAAATCGTTCAATAAATAGTCCGGTTTCAAACCAAAACGACCATTTAGGTCTCCTAAAACAGCTACAGTACCAATATTATACAGAGATTCTATTTTTCCTTGCAAAATATCAAATACATCACAGTTATATTTACGATAAAGCACATTTTTATCTGGAGGCATATATTTAGAGCATATGTATAAATCTAAATTATCAGGTGTTATACTTTTATCAATCTTAAACCAAATCATACAATCCACACAACATTTCACAATTTAAATAAATGGGCTAATCCATTTTTTATAAAACACTACTATTCCACCCCCGGAACATTTCTCTCTATATAAACACTTTTTGTCGTAACCTTTTAGATCAAATTCACCAGGGAATTTGACCCAGCACTCATTGAAACACAGAATATCGTAGTTCTTTATAATTTTTACAGTCACAGTTTGTTCATTAAAATTGTATTTTGAAGATCATTATATTGAATTGTGAGGTTATTTTCAAAATTTTAGCTAACTGTCTTTTAGGAATATCATACTAATCATTAATGACCAGATGATTTAGTTATGTTTATTTAGTTTAAATATTGCATTCCTTTTTATTATTATGATTATGAACACGAACCCCATAATCAATAATGACAATACAAATATAAAAATGGCATAGCATTATGAATCAATAACAATCGTCAATAAGATAAACACAATTAACACAAAGTTAATACTAATTAGTAAATTTCGAAAACATTTCTTAGGAAAGATAACTCATGATATGATATAAATAAAAATGTGGTTTGCCTGTTATTTGGATGCGACACAGTCAAATGAAACGGATGATATACATATAAAAGTGACACGGGATGGAACAACTTTCAATAATATTATCATGCAAAAACAAAATAACATTCAGAAAAAATATCTACAAAACAATTCTTTTGGCCAGGGTAGCTTGCTCTTATTCGCAATGGTAAACACAAAAATCTGTTGATGTATAGTAGTAAGCATTTATGTGTCATATCATACGATCGACTTGTATCTGTTAACAAAAGAAAACATATGATGGTTTTAATATATCATGCATTATATTTTAAACTTATATTTAAATACATAGTTCATTATATATAATTAACTAGTGTCGTCCCTACTACCTAAATGGTTGGGAAAAATCGATGAGAAAAAAGGAAAAATAACAAAAATACCATACTCCATGGAAAATTCAAATCGGAAAGTCCCTTATCAAATGGCAAAATTAAAAGCTCAAACACATCAAACGAATAGAAAACAACTTCCATAGTCCTGACTTGGTACAGGCATTTCCTTATGTAGAAAATGGTGGATTATACCTGGTTTAATATTTTGCTAAACCTCTCACTTGTATGACAGTCGCATAAAATTCCATAATATTGACAACAATGTATAAACAAAACAAACAGACATAATAGGTAAAAGGTCAACAATAGTGGTACAGCAGTCAACATTGTGTTATAATCTTAATCACTATAAAAATAAACAAATATGTCAACAACGAAAAACAAAATGGTGTATAGACAAAGCACATAAGCAAAAATGAAAGACAAGAATACAAAAAGTGACCATAGCATAATAACAGAATGGCGGGATGTATAAGTACCGAGCCAAGCCAAAAGGATATTACAAAAAAAATGGACAAAACTGTAAAGGTAAATAATTTACAAAGACAAATAAAAGAACACTATAACACGTGATTAAGTTGATAAACAACGTCAGTACCTTGAATCTATACTTCAAGAATATCATGTATTATTTTTGAAGTTGATACGGAATATTTATAAACAAGCTCTTGGTATCTTCCGATGAACTTTTTTACTTTTTTAGAAAAAGGACGAGACGTTCTTTGACATAACCGTGGTTCAACTTTCTGCTCAGACACTGGTGACGTTTTACATTACGGTACATTGCCGGCTCATCTGCATGTTCTACAAAGGAATTGTTCATTAGATTGACAAAAATTATGTCCGCAGTGCAAGCTCTTGAATACGGAATGAGTTGGGAGATGTATATCCCATACGTAGGTGAAGTTGGTATATCGCTTGCATATATTTCATACGGTCTTTTACTTGCATAACGAAATAGTTGAATATATTACCTTTATATTGTTATACGAATTTGGCTTATAATTTATGCTTTTTCATGGGGTATTCAGCTATACATTGATTGACAGTTAAGTAAATTGCCAAAATTTCTAAAATTCTTTATTTTGTTACTTGCACATTTATGTTTACAAATAATATAGAGCAGAGCCGTCGCCAGAAAACAATACCAGTATTCACGTAGTAATCATATTTTGAATTGATCTTTATATTGCCAAACAACTATTTTAACCGATGCGTGTGCTTTTTGATACAACAAGAGGATAGATAACAAAGTGCGATTCAAAACTCATAAGATAAAGAGAGATTGACAACATCCGGGCAAAAAACAATCAAACAAAGACGTAAAGACAACCAACAGGAAACAACCACTACATAAAGAACTACATGTTAAGACTGATCAACAAGAACCCATTAAAATAGGGAGTAATCTCAAATTCTCCAGAAAAATGCAACTATTTTGATCATTTCAGCTTCGATTCATATGCCATTGACATTAATGAGGCACAATCATTTGATTATAGCTATAGGCAATAAATTCACCAATAAAAAGTGTTAATTATAACGGTTTGATAAAATTTGATAATATCCGAGACTTTCGATTGGAAATGTTTTGACAAAGTTAAAACAACTCAAAAGGTATGAAATAATCATTATCATTAAATGATGACCAATGTATGGATTATAAATAATACTTCATAAATTTCGTGCGTCCGAAGCGCTTTTCTGGCAAGGTGTTGAAAGTTGATATAGGTCGGCCTGAATCAAACAATTCTGATATCTTTGGTTTGTACATATTTAAGCCGAACACCGGGTAAGCATTGATATGCCTTAACTGGATTCTTAAATTAAATAGTACATGTATGTTAGTAATTAACTGTATAGCCTATATATTTTGGAACAAGAATGAGAAGTATTCCTAGAATACTGTTTTACTGCATATTGTGTAAACTTTGTATGTCTATCTCACTTTGAAATATACAAAGCTCGGACTTTTTTTTTTTTTTTTTTTTTTCAACTTGGTTATATAAACGTTAAACAGGTTAAGCTTCATTATTTTAGTTAATCTACGTATAAGTGGAAGATAAGCCGACGAAACTTCAAATCAATCTTCAAGAAATCACACGAAGAGCTGCATGCTTGGTGCATCTAGTTAAATAAAACGAAATATTGCGTGATTTTATATCACGTCAGATATTTTAAAGAAACATACAACCATTATTATATGTTGTTGATTACATCTGATCTCACAGCTTTTTGTATTGTAACTTTGAATGAGAACACATAATAAAAGACATCAAAGAATATAATTGTATATCATTGGCTTTAGAAAATTGCAACCTCACGTGGTACACTTTTACAGGAGTTTTAGTTTACAAAAACATTGCACAGAAAGCAATATTCGCTTAGTTATTGTTATAGAACACACATACGTTTCTTTCTTCATCTGTTTCAGTAATATGCTGTTTCTTTCGACTTATCTGAAACGGATCAATACAATATCCCTAAAGAATAAAAACATTGTTTTTATTTTGTAAGTTTGGAGGTTGCAATATTTATTTGTGACACTTTTGATAGTGACTTAAATGTATATAACAACAATGAAGTCTGTACATGAAATTTGCATGAATTCACATGTGCGCTTTTGACGTCAAACATGTCATATATGGGTTTCATAGAAGTTTTTTTAAACTGTTTCTGTTGACTTTGTTTTAGTTCAGTTTCATTCCATTGATCTCAATTAATAAGGAGAATAGTTTCCACATAAAATTTTAACCTCGCCATATCTGCAAGTGCATATCCTTAATAAACTAAAATTACTCCATCTGGAATATTCATGAATTTTATGCAACTTGAAATCAGGCAAACAATAGTTAGTATACTAGAAAAAACAATTTTGTTTCTGTTTTGGTTCATACGATTTATATTTGTTTTCGTGGCAAATCTTGTGCATTAAGATGCGATACTAAGTGTTTTCACTGATTTACTGTTAATACCAATATATTGCTAATGCATTTTAGAGTTTTCCCGTAATATTTTGTTTAAGAAAAAAACATTTGTGCCCAGATTGCTCATATTTAAATATCCTCTCAACTTCACTGGTACATATATTGCATATTGAACTGGTACAGAGGGTCCAAGAGTATATTGTATTGTGATACCATGAACCTTCCATCGGAGATGACTACCAGCTGGTCATTATGCTTTTACTATATCTAAGGGCTAACTTACATGTATTTATTTGTTTTTTGATTTTTATCAAGTGAATTTGTGCCACCAGAAGAACTGTTCACTGTATTGTTAAACCCTAAAACATTAAATTTTGATTTTAATACATTGAAATGCTTATTTTCGAGAACATTTTCTTTAAATGTATTAGAAAGTCTTTTTTTCATTGCTCATTTTAAGAATGGGTGAAATAACCGTCTTAATATATCACTGGTTTAAATTTCTTTGATAACACTAGTTTAAATTTCTTTAAGATATTTAGAAGACAGTATGACAAAGAGAATACAAAAAATATACACACAAAAAAAGACACAAAGAAAATGACAATTTAGGTATAAGTGAATAAAATTCACTCCCTGTAAGCACTGCATACATGTTTTCTGTTTTGATATGAACGTCACAGTTGAATCTGATCATGTGGACGAACGTAAGACGTAATAAATTATAACCCTGGTATTTTTGTTGAAAATTTTTATAATAATCACCAGCAAAGACTGTGAAATTGTCAACAGATGACTTTGACAAAGTTTTCCCGTTTAAAGTTTTCTTTGACAAAGTTTTTGTTATCAAACACTTTGACAGTGACAACAGGGCTTAACATTATATGAAAATTCTATAAACTGCATTTTGTACTTATGAAAAAAGATGTTTTACCAGCAGAAATTTGGTGTTTATCTGTTGTATGTCCGGGTAGAATTTGGCAATACATATGTCCTACTTCAAACTGTATATGTGATGAAAAAGTGGTATACATAAAGCAATGAATAAGGAGGATAACTTTTACGATTTGTCACCGGTGCAAAAAAATGGAAACAGAATATAAAGTATTTATGATCGGGTGAAATTAATTATATTATATTTGTTTTACTGTATGTTTCTGAAGGAAACTTACAATTCCTATTTACATAGCGCGTCCACACCATAAAACCCAAAATAACGTTGATGACAGATGAGACAACGGCGATGACTGCAGGTAATACTATCTTCCATACTTCATCATTGGTTTTTCCTTTAAAAAATCATGTAAAATTTATGTGGATATAAATATTATGTAAGCTGTTTTATTGAGACTTGTTTCATAAATATATGAAGACATAGTAATAAAATTGAGAATGGAAATAGGGAATGTGTCAAAGAGACAACAACCCGACCAAAGAGCAGAAAACAGCCTAAGGCCACCAAAGGGTCTTCAACACAGCGAGAAAATCCCGCACCCAGAGGCAGGCTTCAGCTAGCCCCTAAACAAAATGTGTACTAGCTCAGTGAAAATGGACGTCACAATAAACTCCGAAACATACAATAGAACTAAATTAAAAAAAAAACATACAAGACTAACAAAGGCCAGAGGCTCCTGACTTGGGACATGCGCAAAAATGCGGCGGGGTTAAACATGTTTTGTGAGATTTCAACCCTCCCCCTATACCTCTAGCTAATGTAGAATAAACAAACACACAGCAATACGCACAGTAAAACTCAGTTTAAAAGAAGTCCGAGTCTGATATCAGAATAGGTAACAGAAGAAACTAAGCAAAATGACAATGATATATATATTAACAAAGACTACTAGCAGTTACTAACATGCCAGCTCCAGACCTCAATTAAACTGATTGAAAGATTATGTCTTCATCATATGAAAATCAAGCACAATCACTCCCGTTAGGGGTTTAGTTTCATACCATCATAAAATACATGAGAAGAAAAAAATTTAATGTGTTTATTTCCGATGCAAAGACCCCATTAGTGAATCAATATTAATTCCAAAATATACCATCTGTAATGACCTGACAACAGTATCGTAACTATATCCCTTCTGAATAAGTCTGTTTAGCACATTATACGAATTTCATTCTCATATTTTATCTTAAAACTCGATTGTTTTTTGTTCTTCTTATCACCCATAATTGTTGTAATTTGTTCATGTATAGTTTATATAAGATATGACAATTTTGCACAGCATGTAGCTTGAAAAAAAAGCCCCGTGACCCATACTTTTTATTATATTTTTGAAAAAGCACGATATATTTCTACATTTTGGCATATTATAATCAAACTATATCACTGACAATTTAAATTTTGACCCCTTATCTACCTTAACATTTTTGTAACACAAATGGTCTTTTAGTTTTGTTGACTATGGTTAGACCGGAATATCATCGATAAAACTTATCTGCTTCAAAATTTGACATTTTATACGCAATAAAATCAACGGTCAATGCTGGTTGAAGATGAAACCCAACCTTGAAGAGCGACAAAAATAATTCCAATTGTCCCATCTTGAAACCCGGTTCTTAAGTCAGAAATTGATGTTTTTTTTCTGGCATGAATATCTTTCAATTGTACGATATTCTTTACCTTGTTTTTTTGTAATTTGTTAGTGGAACTTAATAACGTGAAAGCTGCTACTTAAAGGCTTTTAAAGTTAACTTAAATGTTTAAAAGAAGAATTTTCACGTGCCATGAGCAAAGTTTACACTGCTGATTTGAACTTAGAAGTAAGACAAATTACCATACCCCATTCCTGAGTTTATTCCAGGTTAAAGAGCGATTCGTGATACTCATTAGTTATTCAATCATTTTTCTGTATGTTGCTATTTGTCGTTATGCTTTTATTTTTATAATTTTCTGTAATCGAACGTCTGTCTTTTTTTACAGTAATTTTTGCCTGTCTTCATTCTATATTATGAGAAACATTTATTTAACAAACCTGCTGCTGCTCCATCATTTTCAGATAATGTTGAAACGACTATTATATCTGTATATGAGCTTCTACCGATGGTGTTATTTGCAATCATTCTGATATCATAAAGACTTCCCTCAGTCAATTGCGATATGCTAGCGGTTTGAGGATCATTCTTGGCACCAGTCATGTCAAATTTTGTAGATCGCCAAATTTCAGATTTACATATTCTGTATTGAATGACAAATGTCTGATAATCATAAACTTCATCACCGCTCGATCTAGGCGTCCATTGAAAGGTCAATGAAGATTTCGATGTAAATACAACACTCATATAATTTGGCTTGTTTGGAGGACCTAAGCAACAATACAGAAAGACATATGAAATACAAGATAAGTTCATGATCACGGGGGTCTCGACCTACAAATTTGGGTACAGACCCGTCCCTCCCATTCGTATACTGATTTATGTGAAAATCCCTACCCATTCATATATTTATTGAAAAAATCACAACTCATTTATATATATGTATTTACCAGCTATCATAACTTATTATTTCAATCAGATATTAACCAAATGGGATCCGTGATACATATTATGAGATAAAAAGATCAGAACAGTTTTTACAAACATCTTATCAGAACAGATGAACATGTATAATCCATTGACGTATTTTAAATTATACCCATTGTTATTTTACCTCCGTGAATTTGCACCGCATACACGTCTGTGTATACCGTCATATAATAAGAGGCACTCCTGCCCCTCCTGTGGTTATGATATTTTAAAATCTTTCTTAAATATTTTGTAAGTAAATACAGTGCATGATATAGTTTGGTTTAATGTAATCGTTTCGGTGAAATGTCACCTGAAAATCTCTTATGCTCGGTTATTTAACAAACGAAAAATAGATCTGAGTAGAATTTCAAACTATGCCTCTGAAAAAATTACTCTGTCTGCCATAAAACTGTAATGACAGCGGCCATAATACTGTCCAAGTAAATCAACCGGATCACATCGCAACATGTATTTCTAATTAACCATAATAATTTTTGAAGGAGCTGTAGTGGTTTGATGTAAACCGACGTTCAAATATGCCAGATATTAAATTACCCTTTGAAAGCTATACATTACATTGTCTGTGAGATCGTCTGATACAAATCGTATTACTATGGAATAATTATTAATTTACGTTACCATGAACAAAATAAAGTCATTCGTATAATGTTTACAGAAATACTTACATGTTAAAAGTGTGACTTTTGTTAGGTCATAGTTTTGATACGTAAAAACATCGTCTTTCTTGCTGTAAGTAAACGTTATGGTGTTCAAGGAATATCTTAACAAACTGTTTATGTATTTTATAAATTTGTTGTAATTCATTTAAATCATATTATGCATAAACAGTACAATAGTAATATTAAACTTCAACTACAATCAGATCTTACTGAAAAACTCATCGAAGATGACATGCTTATAATATGGTACACCAGACGCGAGTTTCGTCCACGCAAAACTCATCAGTGTCGTACGAATCAAGACAGTTGAAAGACCAAATCTAATAAGAAATTGAAGAGCATAACAACCCAAACCTTCTGAAAATATGTGCTAAATTATACAAATCGACTGTGCTACATTTATAAATGTGTATGTTGAGAAACTGGAATGTTTATCTCATCGCACTAGATAATGGACAATGCTTTTTTGTCAAAATGTTCTATATACATGATATATGTTATATATATAAGAAAATAAAACGGGACTATTTTTGTCGATTTGATTCGAGTTACACCCCATGGACAGTAACGTCAAAATCGAGATTTTTGTGAAAATTGATAAAATGTTCTGGATTTTAACCACATTAAGGCCTAGGAAACATATAACGAATGGGTTAACCAAAGTAAACATTTAACTCATATAGTTCATTTGTTAAAAGAAACTTCTTGTCACAAAATAGATTTTTGGCGAAACCTGCGCTATATGTTGTCTCTCTCAAAAACCTTTCAAAATATGTCTGTTTTCTTTGGTTTTAGCAGGAAATGGAGATGTATGCTAATTATGACCTCATAAAACGAACATTGATGCCTAAATGTTAAAACAAAAATATCTGTTTCCAATCTAATCATTGTGTAAGTAGATATAAGAAGATGTGGTATGAGTGCCAATGAGACAACTCTCCATCCAAGTCAAAATTTATAAAAGTAAACCATTATAGGTCAAAGTACGGTCTTCAACACGGAGCCTTGGCTCACACCGAACAGTAAGCTATAATGGGCCCCAAAAATTACTAGTGTAAAACCATTCAAACGGGAAAACCAACGGTCTAATCTATATAAAAAACAAGAAACGAGAAACACTTATGGTAAACAAGACGGTAAACCGATGCAGAACATTTTTCGGATTTTGATCCGCCACAATCTGTCACTAAATAGTCACGATTTTAATCCGACTAGACAAAATCGGCTTAGTTTCCCCGGATGTTAAGCCTCAGTCACTCATCTTGGTTTTTACTGCCGTCCTTGATGAGACCACTCCCGATTAAAATATGTCAAACCTTTGATCAAGATCCTGTGATTCATGGCTGGAAATTTATAAAACCCTTTATTTAATCACAACAATAAGATATTGTTTTGGAAGCGTCCCGATCATCCCGTTCTCAATCTGAATCTGATCCGATTTGTATCTTTTGCATGATAGAGATAACGATATAATCTGTCCCAACAGCGCCCCGATTCTCTCAAACGCGGTCCGACATAGAGCAGACAGTGACTTGACAGTGAACCGACGCAGGTTGTTCTTACAATTTTGATCCAATACAGCAGAATCTGTCACGAGATAGTCACGATCGTAATCCGACCAGACAAAATTGACTGAGTTTCCCTACATTTTACGGGACGCACCTAACTTTCGGGAGTCCTTGACCGTCCTCTCTGGACCATTCCTGATTCATAGAACTCTGTTACAAACATAAACGACTGCGTTCAGACAATGATAGGACACCTCAGATGATTGGTAATAGTAATCCGACTTTTTCACTGTTCGTGTCGTAACGTTGTCTGATCTCAAATGGGAACCATAATCGGTTATGTGTGACCGCCGCTTTACGGGACGGGCCTAATTGTCCGGAGTGCTTGGCCGACCTCCCAGACCATCACCTATCTTAATGGCACCAATTTCTTGTACGCCTCTTTAATAGCAGACTTTTTTTCGTATTGTTGTGAATCGCAGTTTACGGCCAACTTCAGTAAAGATCCGTCTAAATTCCATCGAATAGTAAATATTACCGTTATCTTGATTATATGTTTGTTCGATTTAATCAATAATTTTCTAATTTAATGTACTACTACAATTTACCCGAGGGATTGACTTCGAATAAATCTAATGCTAAAAGCAGTAATTGTTCTTTTCTAAATTTGAATATTTCATTTTCATACGGGAATCTCTATACAAAAATGTACGACAAAAGAGACAATTTTCATTTTTTATTTACCATTCAAACCATAATTTTTTGTTTGAACTACGCACTTGTATAGCTTACTGTACAGTATGGGTTTTGCTTATTGTTAAAGGACGTACGGCGACCTATAATTGTTATCCCCTCTGGTCTTCACTGAATATTTGTCTCATTGACAACCATATTACATCCCCTTAATTTAAAAAGAGAAGAATAGATAGTCAATGGAATGAAGCAGTTTAAAGTAAATCAAATGACAGAAGATATTTGCAGGTTATTTTAAATATGGAGGATCGATACGAAACATCAATTTTTAACAAACAATTGAGAAAGCACATAATAGTGACTTAATAACTTACATTTCAAGATCTTGCATGACTGCTTCTACTGATTTACATCTATTGTAACACTGAATGTCGTCTTTATCTATATTATCAGTTAAGTAATCACTCGAATTAACCCAGGCACAATGAGGATCTTTTACACAGGTATCAATCCATCTGTACTGCTCACAGTTTATGACTTGTATACGTTTTACAGAAGTGTCTGTGCCTATATAAACCGAGTCGTTCTACCATATAGGAAAAGAAATGAATATGAAAGTATATCATTGACTGAATTAATATGATGAAAATATATTATACAAAATCACATGATTTCAAATGTACTATTATAACACTAACGTTTTTCTACCCCAGACATTGAGGACCTAAGAAAAGTTTGGCACCAATTTTTAAATGACATTATATCTTTATGTACCGATTAAATTTATTACCGGGTTTGTACTAAGATGAGCAACACGACGGGTGCCACGTGTGGAGCAGGATCTTCTTACCCCTCCGGAGTACATGAGATCACCCCAGTTTTTGGTGGGGTTCGTGTTGCTCAGTCTTTAGTTTTATATGCTGTGTTTTGTGTACTATTGTTTGTCTGTTGGTCTTTTTCTTTTGAAGCCATGGCGTTGTCAGTTTATTTTCGACTTATGAGTTTGAATGTCCCTTTGGTATCTCTCGCCTCTCTTTTTCGAATGCTTGATTTATTTCATAGAAGCAGAACAAATGTAGTTTCTTATTCCTTAATTGTTCACTGCAATTTCATCTTTGCATCTTAATACTTTAGAAATATTTGCGACATAAAAATATTGCAGAATATGCAATTGTTCAACTGGGGAGAATTTCACAAAATTGCATAAAAAATACATTGGTAAAAAATGAAGAAAATGTATGACTGTAAAAAGAAACTAGCACTTGCGAAAAAAGCCTGACAGTGTGTTATCCAAACTACTAGACTAAGTATATCTCTTTCGATTTGAGTCACGCATTTTCTTAAAACAAAATGGCAAATTCGTTTCTTTAATTATATTGATGATATCATTTGTTATTGAATTATTAGTAAAGAGACAATCCAAGTTAATCTTTCGAAAGGAGTAAACAGCGTTATTGTTAGAGCAGATGTACAATGAAGGTTGGTAAATTAATATCAACAAAGTTTGTCATAATGTCGACAATTGTTACAGCATTATCATTTCACTCACCACTTTGAAATGATAATACAAACGGACAGATCAAGTTATCGTTAGTAGTGCTCGACATTGATGTTTAACATGCTGAAATTGGTAAACTTTTGTCGGATTTATTTCTTTAGATTCGAATCATTTACTGCAAATCGTGTCATGGCCTAGGCGTAAAGTCGCCTTTTGAATAACTAACTGTGACCTATGCTGTATTTTCACATGTCATAATTTCTCCTTCAACAAAGCACTAGGATGTATTGCAAACTCCCGTTTTTTTTATATAAGTACCAAGAATAGCAAACCTACTGTAGTGTAGGGGTAAATGGTTCAAATATATTCAAAATCAGAGGAACTACAAGGAAACTCTAAAGTCACTAATTGTGGTTTGAACCACAAAACATATATATGTGAATCAAAATGTAAAATAATTTCTATGAGACTGTGCTTAATCAAACGTTTTGAGTCAGTAAATGAAGTTTTATGGCAATCTGATATCGATTGATAAATCAGCATTCCATTATTCTGACTAAGCTATTAAAATCAGAAAAATCCGAAGATCCGTCATCTTTCATTTGTCTTGTAATGATCCAGAATTAAGCTTATTGAACCGATGTAATGCATTAATTTACAAATGTATCAGATATACATTTAACTATGAGGTTTGAATGCAACAATGTTTCAACAATCTTAACGACTGAAAGGGTGGGACAGAAACTTCAAGTTCCGCTATATAGATGAGGTCCTTTCACTGAATATTGCAAGTTTGTTGATTATGTCATGTGTGTTGATCGCATCTATCAAATTAAACTTGACTAAAAAGATACCAAAGACACTGCTAAGTTTACTTCATATCTTTACTTACATTTAGAAATTGACAATGGAGGGTCGGTTGAAAACCTTACTTTATAACAGAAGGGATCAATCTCCATTTTTTTTCTTATTTCAAAAATGTATTCTTATATGTTTTTGGTTAATCAGTCAGATCTGTATCAACAAAATTAAAATCGGACATACAACTTTAACAAATGTAATTAAGTTCCGAGTTTAAAATCATTGTAATTTTTAAGTCAACTTACATATTGTTTGAGTGCCCAAATGACTTCTGCATTACTCAGTGGTGAGTACATGCTATCAATATACGTGCTGCCATCCTTAAAAAATAACTTGTAAACTTCACCATTATCTGTAAAAGATACATATGTGTTGACATGTGAGAAATCGTTAACTATTAATCTGAATAAGGTCATTATGATTGATGAGATTCTGCAAAATACACAGAAGGCACCGACATTTCTACGAGTTTTGGCCGCTTCATAATCCTCCCTTTACCCTCCCCAAGTACCAATTTCTAGTATCGCTCTTATGCAATACATTATATGGCCTTCTTCTTAATACTGTAAAAGTTTAGAAAGTGAACATATCGGAGAAATCATGCGTTTTCATGTTTTCATTTAAAACTGTCTTTAGAGGAGACGAGATGTATCTAGATATTTTACATTGTATAGTTATTTTCACAGGACCAGTGTCTTTAAAAGTGCGGTATCATTGTCATTGTATTTATAATTCCGCCTAACACTCTCCTTAAACAGGGCATCGGAGTTAATGTCCCTATTACATGTACGACTGGACGTTGATGGGTATTTAAACATCCCGCCGCACAGCCTCCCTATTTAGCTATAGGAGTTTACGTCCAGACAGGATAATTCTAAAGTTGACTGCATTTCTTCACCGCAATCAACCCTTGGGGTGACACGACAATTGAAACCTTGTAGCAACAATACCGTTGTCAACGATATCATGAATGTTTGTCTTAATATAAAATGATGTTCATGCTTTAATCATTTCACATATATTCAAGTACTTTACACCGGAATATAGGACCTATACACATTCGTTGCATAATAATATTCATCTGTGAAGAAACAAAGACAAAATAAAGACTTATTAAAACTGTAAAACTGAATAACAAGTTTTCAATATAATACTAAACATGCATTATGGTTATAAAGTTTCACGGTCATAAATTGTAAGACAGACCGTGCGAGACCATCGTGGATTGTCAAGATCGTTAACACCTCCCGTAGGATTTAATTTGCAATTACGTTTTCAATATTATGCAACCCAATATTAATGAGCAAATGTAAAAGGGTCCGTTAAAAAGTAAAATAAATATAATATCATGTTGATAGCTCCGTTCATTCTATTACTAATAGTTCTTTACAGCTACTGGCGGACTAAAAGTCCCCGATGGTACCCTCCTCCAAATAATCAAGTTACTTTGGTACCTTTTGTGTGAATAATTGTCAATAAGAATGCACATCATTCAGGTAATGTCGAACTCGGAGGTTTTTGCATGTTTAAATAAGGTTCAAGTTGTTCCATACTTTCAAATGTAAAATAAGTTTGGCTTTCAGACGTAACCTGATCGAGCGTACATTGTTTTGTACCCGGTGAATGTTATTTTAGTTATCAAAGGTCTAAACGGACATCGGTATCATACATTTTTTTTCGAAAGGACATGTAGGCTCTGAATAAAACAAATAAGACTAACAGACAGCGCTTTAGATTTTATCGTTTAAACATTGGGTAAAATGGTTTATCGATAAACGCTTTTTATTAAGCTGAACAGGTTGCATAGAACCACATGAATTCATAGCTTTAATGATATATGATTGTTCTGAATATTTGCTGTTGCACAGATGCGGTAATTCTTTACACATGTTTCTGTCTAGTTAGGTCGTGCAGATATACAATGCATTTAAAAGGTAAAGAAAAGAAGAATATTGTGAATATACTAATCTTCAAAGGATGTATTGACATTTTTCAAAATACAGTGGAGAAATATTCATACTACCCGTTTTGACCAACCCTACCTCTTCACCTTTAATAAAATCACTAGTTCGTTTTCTTTGTTTGTCATTGATTATTCCACAATCACATCACAAATTAGAGACAATGCTTACTTGAAGCTGTATAAAGCACAATTTCTGACATGTTGCTATGTAGTTCAAGGTGTTGCAGTTCTCTGTCGTCTAGAAGAAATACTGGCTTTCCATTCACTTGTTCAACCGTGTTGTTCATTAACGGATGATCAGCAATAAACTGAAGACCTTCTTCACTAAGTGACAACGAATCTTCTGTACACTGCAATGATAAAACTCAATGTATTAATGCTAAATGTATATTTCAATGAGGTACCGATTAAATTTGCTAATAACCTATCTGGGTTTTTTTCTTTTTCTGAACAGAGGTTAACGTTTATGCCGGAATTTAAAAAGAGGGTGATATACTAAAGGGCAAGAAAAACCTATAAGTCGAAGAAAGGCAGACAATACATAATAAATTCTCAATCTTTGACTGTTTCAGCAAATCATGTAAATTTGTAAACTTTTTTCGTTACAAAGGTTCAACATTTATATATTTAAGAATATATATTATGAACTTTACGATGGACGTTCTCCATCGGATAACCCGTGGTTATACAGGGCTAACAACGAATCTAATAAGTATTCCATTTTCATGTCTTGAGTTCTTTTAATCTATTATATTTTACGATTTATTTTCGGTTTTTTAATTTTTTCTGAAACTTTCAAAACTTTTTTGAAGGATAACATATACATGTATGTTGTAGGGAAGCCCATTTAGAACCTTCCAAAAATATAATTTGAATTCGAAATCACGAATTTAAATCGTTATCACTAATTGTATAATTTGTTATAACAGATTAAACTTGTGATAACAAATTGGTGGAAATCGTTATAACAGATTTTATAATTCGTTATCACAATTTTTTGTAATTTGTGATAATGAATTAAAATCGTTATAACGAATTGTATAATTTGTTATAATGGATTATATTCGTGATAACGAATTTGTGGAATTCGTTATCACAGTTTTTTTTGTAATTTGTGATTTCGGATTAAAATTTATTATCACAGATTTTTAGCTCACCTGACCCACAGGGGTTAAGTGAGATTTTATCCTCACTTTGCTACCGTCGCTGTTCATTATATTTTACAAAAATCTTTTTTTTTAAACTTTTCGGCCAAAGCGAAGCAAAGTTGGCCGCAATCAATTTATTTTTAACGAATTTTATTTGCAAATTTAGAAAAAGGGATTGGACACTTAATTAGGGATATTGTTTGTTTTTTGTTTTTGTAAAGGGACATAACTCAAGAACGGTAAAAGTGATGCCACCCAATTTCAAACTTGGTCTGTGTTTTGAAGTAATAAAGATTGTGTAGTAGTTTAATAACATTTGGTTGAGGCAAACTAAATGTAGAGAACGAACACGACAGATTTAGCACTTTGTCTATTTATAAAGGGCATAACTCAAGAACCGTAGAAGTGACGCCATTCAATTTCAAATTTAATTTGTTATAACAAATTATACAATTCGTGATTTCGAATTCAAATTATATTTTTGGAAGGTCCCAAATGGGCTTCCGTAATGTTGATAGTCAATTTTCGGATTTATTTAAAAATATCCTACCTTATTCATTGAACAATGTTAATTCATTTTGTTGCTATATAGAGTCTATTCTGCATAGTTGTGAAAATTCTAGTAATACATTTATGTGTATAACTTAAATGTTATATTGCAGTAGATTGAACAGATAAAAACTAAAGTCTCTTTAGATACATGAGGGTATAAGTTCGTGTTGCTCAGTCTTTAGGTTTCTATGTTGTGTTTTGTGTGCTATTGTTTGTCTGTTGGTCGTTTTCTTTTTTAAGCAATGGCGTTGTCAGTTTATTTTTGACTTATGAGTTTGAATGTCTATTTGGTATCTTTCGACTCTCTTTTATATACAATCCATCTGTATACATATGTATTACCGTTTCATTGTAGTAGTATAAGGTAACTATACAAGCCTTTGCAATGCTAAAGCCTGTTTGGAAATCAAAGGCGATAACAGAAAACACAAAATTTGCATCTTAAACACCAATGTAAAATCAGTACTGTTTAACGAAGCTGAAACATGGAGACTTACATCTGGAGTACAACAGAAAATCCAAGTTTTCATCAACAAATGCCTGTGACGAATTTGTAAATTTTGGTGGCCGAAAACAATTAGTAATAAAAGCTTGTAGGAACGAACCAGCAATTAAACAGCTAAAGAGAGGAATATGGTAATGGATTGGCCACACATTGAGGAATCCTGTTGATACCATCACTTGACAGGCTTTAGAATGGAACCATTAAGGACATCGGAGACAGGGAAGAGACCATTTCACAGCTGGAGAAGATCAAGGTTGGAGGAGTTGGAGGAGTTTGGATATACCTGGAGCGAAGCAAAAATGATAGCACAAAATAGAGTAAGGTGGAAAGCGACTGTGGCAGCCCTATGTTCCACAAGTAATGAAGAGGTCTAAGTCAAGTAAGTCATACAGTAACTATATCTAGATGTTTAGTTAATTTGATACTTTCTTTCGTTTTCCTTTACTGTCTGCGTGTATTTATACATGTATGTGTATGGAAGTGACTTATTAGAAAAATGTAAATAAGGGTAAATATATTGACGTACTTGACCCGGTCTTGGAGTTGGAACGTTTGTAGCCTCTGCCCAGTATGAATTATCAGTTGCCTGGTCTTTGAAAGGCCCATTTATCGCAGCTTCTATACTGGTTAAATTAAAGGCACATATTGCTGACGCTGGTGTTCCTTGTCTACAATATGTACTGAATTTAAAATAACATGAATCATATGTATATAAAGCTTATTAATTTTATCAAGAAGATAATTTGATGTTGATTATAGATACAAAATATTTCAGATGAGTGCAGTAATTACTTGTACATAAAGTAAATTCCTGAATTTCTGAGAAGTCTGTGATGTTAAGATTAGTCCTTACAAATGTATTCGACATTTATGTGAGATTTTTCAGAACTCTTCAAAGCAGTTCAGGATTGGGTCAGGTATCATGACTTGTCCTGAGCATAGGCTTGAAACAGACTTGGGCATCAACTAATCAACTTGGTCAGAGCAGACTTGGGCATGAACTAGTCAACTTTTTCAGACTAGACTAGACATTTAAATCGGTTTGCTTCCTGACCAGTACTGCAATTAGATCTGCTTCTCGACCAGTTCTGTGGACAAGTCTGCTTCTTGGCCACGTGTGCATATCTGCTTCTTGACTAGTACTGTTGAAGGATTTTTTTCTAAACTAGTCCTGCGGACAGATCTAAGTCTATTCAAAGAAGTAATGCTATAGACTAGCATTATAGACAGGTTTGCTGATGATTAAACGGATGCGCGTTTAAAATGCAAACAAATTAAATGTATCAGTTAACAGTTAGGATTCAAGGTACCTTTGGTGTTAGACTGGTTTTGACTGGAGTTAGCTTCAATAGCATGGGCAGACCCTTCAAAGGTTAACTTATTGGAAAATAATACAATATAATCAATAATAAAACATTTCCTACCTAAATAAAGGCAACAGTAGTATACCGGTGTTCAAAAGTCATAAATCGATTGAGGGAAAACAAATCCGGGTTACAAACTAAAACCGAGGGAAACACATCAATTATAAGAGGAAAACAAAGGAATAACAGGAACACTGAAGTGCAACAAAAACAAACGCAAACATACATAGAAACGAACTATTTGATAACAGCTGCCATATTCCTGACTTGGTACTGGACATTTTAAGAAAAAATGGTGGGTTGAACCTGGTTTAATGGCTAGCCAAACCTCCCGCTTTATGACAATGTTAAAAATATCGCTAAAATGACAACACTACGTGATAGAAATACAGCACAAACACACGCAAGAACATTCACCACAGAGAAACGCACAAACAAATAATATAATAGTCGACACAACATGCAAACCGCAGAACAATAACGAACATATTCCAGCAACGACAAAAACCACAGGATATCACAAACAATGTCGTTAAAATCAAACATGAAGTTTCGTGATATTTTATTTGATTTTTGCAAGCCCCAATATACTATTTCTTTTTGTGATGCATTAAAAAAGTCAATCGACGGCTGCAACTATTCGACTATACAGTACTGTTATTCCTTAAAAAGCTGTTAAAAATTCATCACAACATACATGTAATGACATCGAAACTTTTAACTGTTATTGTTTTATTGCTAAAAATGGTTCGATAATTCTGTATCTTTCTTACATGGTATAATGAAACAAAATAGGTTTGGAAATTCGAGAATACCAAGAAAATAAAAGAATGTTTAATAGGGCTATGACAAAAAAAATATATAACAAAAACAAACAAACAAAACAAAAAATCAACAACAACAAAACAAATTGCTACATAAAAAAAAAACATAATAAAAATCCAAACATGGACTTCTTTGTTGAATGGGTCCGTGCTTTATATGAATCTTTGACAGACCATTTTTAATAATATTCAAAAACGCTTATTTGTTCCATTCGATTCGGATATTTATAACATACTTACTTAGTAATGAATAAACCATAAAATGTTGAATCTTTCATAACAACATCCTCTACAAAAAAAAAAAAATAGACTATAAAGGGATACAGTAGCAACGAGACTAATAAACAATACTATTTCCGGAGATTGTGCGCATTAAAATCGGTGTCCTATGTTTATGTATTGTGTTATGGTAGATATCAACGACAAAATACCCAACAAAATCTAAGATACCATGCAGACAAAACAAGAAGAAAGAAAACAAAAAACATACAGGTCATCGCTGTTCGGTGTTGCTTCGTTAGATGCACTACGCAATATAGCTGCTGATGTATGATAGCTGGACAACGTTCTGTATACTTCAGCAGATCGATTATTTCTCTAAGGAATTCCTTTTCTAAAAAGGTATATGAATGTTTGTAATTTTGAACCCATCTTAGAGCGTTAATTAAAAAGATTATCGTAAAAAACTAATAAACTAATTATAGACTGTTGTCCATGTTTGAATATTTAAATGTAATATAATTTATAAGCAGTGAGCTTTTCCGGCAAAGTACTTACGAATTGAATCATAATGGACATGCTTTTCATTACAGGTCAGTCTTGCTTTTTGAAAACTGGTCCACTTATTTCTCAGCAGAGAGTTCCCACCAACATCTTTCTATAATATGAACAGAAGTATCCATGACATGAACTACTCAGTTAAAAGTGAAAATGGACATGTTCAAGTTATATCAATTAGGCTCTGTGTAAACGAAAACGTGTCATCCATAAAATAAAGTACACCAAGTCTTAGTTTGGTTCTTGGGAAGGGAAAGCTGCACTACATATGATAATTATATTGTTTTGGGTGATCTGAATTTTGATATGTTAAATCATAGTAAATGTCAACCTTTGCACGATGTATACGATATTTTCAACTTATTCAAATTGTGAAAGAATCAACATATTTTATGAAAAACTATAGACGATCATTAGTTGATGTTATTCTAATCAATTAAAGGACAATGTGTAATAATACACTAAACATTCCAACAGGTGTGAGTGCTTGTCACAATTTAATATCAACAACAGTAAAAGGTGACTTTCCTTTACATGAAAAAAGAAAAATAAATTACAGAAATTACAGAAATGCTTATATTGAATATTTTAACATTGACTTACAAAAGTTGAAATATCTGAAACTTTGACAAAAAACTGCACATGAAATAGATTTATACGAATTATATGTCATAACTATAGTAGATAAACATCCACCTTTAAAAACAAGATATCCTAGAAAAAATCCACTCCCATGCATGTATAGTGATTTGAGAAAAGCCATTCACCGTAAACATATGTTATAAGTTACACTTAACAGATTGTGATTTTTGGATAACTATAAAACCTTTTTTTCTCTTAAAAGTGTCAATCAAGCCAACAACAAATAGTCTTGAGTGAAAACAATAAAATTGTGAGTGATACAAAACAAGTTATAGAAGATTGTGATTTTTGGAAAACTATAAAACCTTTGTTCTCTAAAAAGTGTTACTCAAGCCAACAACAAATAGTCTTGAGTGAAAACACTTAAATTGTGAGTGATACAAAACAAGTTATAGAACATTTTAATACCTTTTTTCAACTATAGCTGCGGAAATAGGAAAAAATGTCACATATGACCAATCTTCACATCACAGCATCTTAGGGATAAAAAATCATAGAGACCCAGGGATAAATTTTGAATTTAAAAGAATTACCACCGAGAAGGAAGAAAAAAATATCAATAAGATGAATATCAAAAAGGCTACTGGCTGTGACAGAATTCCAGCTCAAATTGTGAAACATAGTTAATCTGCATTTGCGCCACAGCTGACAGATCTATTAAATTCATCTGTTGACTCCGGTGTATTTTCAGATAGACTAAAGGAGGCACAAGTAACTCCATTTCATAAAAAGATCATCTATTAATAAAAACTAATTATAGACCAGTCAGTGTTCTGCTAATTTTTCCAAGTTATATGAAAAGGTTTTAGAAACTCAACTGTCAAATTTTTAATTCATAATTTTGTGCGTTTATACGAGGTCCTGAATGTCAGACCATACTACTTTAACTTTTTGAGTATTGGAGAGAGGCCCTTGATAAAAGTCATTACATGGCCGCAGTTTAAATAGCCTCTCTAAAGCTTTTGGTTGCTTACCTCATACAATTTTACTTTAAAAATTGTCCTTTTACGGAGTTTCTTTTCACTCAGTGTCCCTTTTAAATTCATATTTATCAAACAGTAAAACAACAAATAAAAGTTGGCAACATACTAAGTAGTTTAGCTGACATCCAGCTGAAAAGTGTGCCACAGGGTTCTATTCTTGGATCGCTTGTTTAACATTTTTGTTAACGATATGTTTTTATTTTAACAAACAGAGCTCATTATATAACTATGCAGATGCCAACAAATTATCGTTCTGTAGTCCTGATTTTGACGAGCTAATATCTACATTAGAAGATGAATCCAAACAATTGATTGCCTCGTTTAAATTTAACTAAATGCAAGCTAATCCTGACAAATTCCAGGTGACAGAAGTTGGTAAAAGGACTTTTGAGAAGAACCCATCAACACATATTCAAAATTCTAATTTATCTTGCGAATCTTTGACAAAGACATTGACTTCCACCTAATTTTGATTTACATATTAGTAATTTGCGTAGAAAGGCATCTCAGTAGCTTTTAAATTTTGAAAAGTAAAAAACCTTTTCTTTCAAGATTTATTAAATTCATACTTTTATTATGAGTAATTTTAATGTTTGCCCTTTAGCTTGGCATTTTTGCATTGAAAAAATTACCATGAAATTCGAAAAAATGCAAGAAATAGCACTCCGGTTTGTGAATGATGACTACAACTCTACATATTTACAACTTGTGGATAAAGCTAAGTTGTCAAGTCTTCTGGTGCGCAGAATGAAGCAGAACTATGGCTCTAGAAACTTTTAAGATTTTAAATAATATTGCTATTCATGTTTGAACATTCTTCTAAAAATTAAACCTACAAAATACTCTTTTAGATATAGTAATATATTAGATGTTCAACGGGTAAAAACATTTACTTATGGTAAACATGGTTTAAATATGCTGCAGTTAAACTGTGGAACTCTCCCAGACCATTTCAGGACGGAAAACAGCTTTTCTAAATTCAAAAGCTTGATTCAGTGTTGCAATGGTCCGAACTGTCGATGTTCTGCATGTATTTGATTTCTGAATCTTCGCTTTTATATTGTCAGCTCTGCAACTCATTTTGTAAATTTTTCATTATTAAACTTCTTTCCATATTTAAGTATTAATTCAAATTGTTAGCTTATATGAATTGTTTAATTTGTTATCTAGTTGTTGCTGTTTTTTTGTCAAACAGTTCTATTTAAATTTTAAAATAAATTTATAAATATTTATATAAGATTGCCAGAATTCTGAAATTTTGGTTGTTACTTGGCTTTATTCACTTGTATGTTTTATATGCACATGATGCTTTGTTTTGTTTGTTTTGTATACGTTTTTATATTCGGTAAAAAGCTCATGTGTTTGTATGTTTTATGCTATGCCGAATCAAAATAAAGTTTTCTATGTCTATGTCATGTCTATGCACCAACAAGCAGTCCCATGTATTAGCTGTTGAGATCGCCAAATGTATCTCGGATATACTAGTGTCATCCATACACACCGTGAAATAATGTACGGGAGTAAACTGGTGTAAAGTTATACCAGTAATGAGACATGTATTCTTCAAATAATCGTTAAAAGAGTTCAGCTGACGAAGTCAAAGGAATTACGTACCAACAAATCGTTATCCTGCATATACAGCGAAAAGATATGTATACGTACCAGCTCACAAAATTCAAGGAAGTGAATGTTTACTAGGACCGAGACAGCTCCAAACTTCGAGTCAGAAAGAAACCTAAAAGACTACTTGATCCAGATGATCAATTTGATCAACGTCGAGGATAGAACTTACAAGAATCTCTCGTACAATTCTTAGACAGTTTTAAAAATGTTCATTCCGCGGCGATTTTACCACACTGCTGGAGTCATGGAGATATTATTTAACGTCACCATTAGAAATTTTGATTCGATATGCTCGCATACGCCACTGGAGGGATCTTAACACGTCATGGTATACGATACAATAGTAATGAACTGCAGACATCTTGTAAAAGTATCAACAAATTTAGAGAACCTGTTTTACTGAATCCAGTTATGTTATCAATGCAAAAGACTTAGTAATTTTTTTTATCAGCTCTGAAATTTCAACGAAAGTTATCATGCCTAGCCAAAGGCAGACGTGAAGATGCTCTGATCATTTTTTTGTGGTCCAGTTGGAAGAACAAGTGATTTATAAAGTGACATCGTTTAATCATATGTGTTTGATTTGAGACAAATCCGAAATCATGCATATATCGGATAGCAAAGGTTTGCAATGTAAGCACATTATATATATGTAACGAAGTAAGTTCTTTGGCTTGTCAAGTTGCCAATGTTATACAAAACTATATTTAAATATAAATTAAATAAACAAAACAAAAGTAAAGTAAATTGAACACAAATGAGATAATGAAATGAATAAACACAAATGTAACTTAATAAACACACACGAAACGGTACTAAATATAATGTTATGAAATAATCAAAATAAAACTAAACGATTTCAGTCTTCACACTTCCATCAACTCTGCACACTTCCTGGTAAGGTTGAAAGTGCACGTTATGTAGTATAAATTTGGGTTACTCCCCTTGGATTTCTGTTAATATTAAACGGACGGAATATAACTATTTTCACACATTTTTGGTTGATTCTGAATTGATGAAAATAACACTAGATTATATAATTTTACTGCAATGATAACTTCAATGATCCATGACGACTTTAAACTGCATAATACTGCACGGACTACTCGATTCCTTTGACATATATTTTAACGGACTTTTTATATATTTGTTCTAACGGATAATTTAACCAACTCCAAACGTTGAAATTTTTATCAGCAACCATCAAGTTGATACTATATAACCAATGAGACCATTTGTATTTTCATCACCATTATCACCGACTTATCGACGGTATTTTCTTTACGCACACCAAAAGCGGGCCTAAAAATCCCGGAGTGTTGTAATAATAAGCCTTGGGATGTCCATGTCCTGAACTGACAATCCTGATACCAACTGCTATTTTTGCCAACTCTAAACTCAGCACAAGCGTGTGTCGACTGATTCGAAACTCACCTGTGAAATGTCAATAGGTTCACAATCACGTGCACATGAAAGGTCTGCTTGACTATATAGTCCGGTGTAAGTGAAAATAAGCCTTAACGTAAAATATAGTCCTATGTGGAATAAATATATATAAATAAATAACTGAAGTTTCTTACACTATATATATATATATATATATATATATATATATATATATATATATATATTCCTAAATTGAGGTAAATTGTATGGCCTTCCAAATACCGTTTCGATTCCTAACATCACTGAAGAGACATTAATTGTCGAAATCCGGATATGGTGTACAAATTTTTGCACCTCATGTTTGCGGGATACCATCTTTTCCGCAAGTTTATTGTTTTCTGTTTGGTATTAAATTAATAATAAAGATCCATTTTGTTACATCTTGTGATCCGTTTATTTGGCAATC